TTGCACCTCTCTCTGTTTTAAGTAGTTTTAGACTTTATGTAGCTTCTGTCTTATAATTAGTGATAATTTGTTGGATGGATGGGGCAAATGAGAAAGAAAGGTTGGACACCCAGTTGTTAGCCCCTGTATGTGGGAGGGAACGTGACAGAGCTGTTGGTTTAAAGAAAAGACGGCAAGAAAATGAGATGTTTCTTCTGTACCTCATGGAGACCAACAAAGCTTGGTTCAACCCATTGGCTTTTCCTTGGGCATCATAAAAAAGACCCTTTCAGAAAAAAATACTTCACATGTGAGAATTAATCTTACTATTTAAATGGATTATTTTTTCCTTCCTATACTCTGCCAAGGTTTCCTATTTATCCCAGCCTCTTCCACTTCCAGACTGGTTGATCTTTATACAATATCTATGTTCTCAAGCAGAAAACGCTCTCTCCTGTCTTCATCCAAAGGGTACGCTGGGTTCGTCCCCCGCCTCAACTGGTTTCATAGCATGAACTACGTCCGGAGCGTGAAGGAAGCCATGAAAGAATTTGACCAACTTCAGGTAGATTATATCCACAAATCTTATTCCAAGAATGTAACGTTGTTGATTCATCTGCAACACCAAAAGCGGTTTCATTTACAGCGGCAGTATTAGAACCGGGGTTATAAGTAGAAGCGAAAGAAAAAGCTATTGGGTAACATGTTGAAAAAATAATGAGCAATTAAATTCTGTAACTTGTTTCCTTGGGACATTAAGGGAGGATAAATGAGTTCATAAAAGGATTAAGCAAATCTTTTGAGGGTTGGTTCAAGGGTGGCTATTAAAAATGTTGCTCGAAGTGCAGAAACACAGGATGCCACTATCTGCGCTCCCTTTACGCAACGCATCTTCTCTGCCCTGCTGGCAGCGCTGGGTGGCTTCTGGGGCTGCTTGGATGGGCATTTCTCCCTTTTAATTGGTTGTCAGGCTTTTTTCCTTTACTAACGTAATTTATCTTAAAGGGGTCTAGATCGTCTTGCCCCTCCTTTTGGGAAGGATGCCGAAATATCCCTACTGAAAAAACACTTCTTCCCCTTGCTGTAAGATCTGCCTCCTACACGGGAAAATGAGATCCCTCCCACAGCAGTTAGCATTCAGAGCTACGCACTTCTTCCTGCTCCCAGGATGGAGATCCCTGGGATGCAGCTGCCTCGCTGGTCCAGCATTGGCGAGGACTGAGCAGCTTGATGAGAGCAGGTTACAGCATTTCCAGCCCTTGCTGGTCACCAGGATTCACCACGGTGCCTTCATCCCAGAGTGCATGGGTCTGATGCAGGGAAAATCCACGATCGAGGAGCCTCAGCGCAGAGAAACTGGGCTGGGAAGAAATGACTCAGTGGGGAGAGCAGCGGGGCTGGTGGGGCTCACGGCAGCCGGATGCTTTGGCTGCGATGTATTTCCCTGTGCTGGCTTCTTTACCCTGCTGCCGTTAATAGGGGTTGGAATGAAGCAAACAGAACATTATCAAACCTAAACGTGCTGTTTGCAAAGCCCTCCTGCCCCTGATTCCTTAAGACATGTCGGTCATGCAGTAAATCGGTGAGGGCGGTGTTTCTCTATCGCAGGATGCAGCAGAAGCCGGGCTTGCAGAGGTTTAGCTGCAGCACATCAGGAACTGAAGGAATATGAGCACACTGAAAAAAAAATCACAGCACATTTCTATCTAAGATGGCTTCTGACTTGAAGCCACTAATCTTCTGCCCTAAATCTCTGTTGCCCTAGGTTACGTACGGGGATGTGCCATGGATCATTGCTTACTGCCTGCATCAGGCAAAATAACACAATCCTCTCGCTTCGGTGCTGCACTTGAGCAGTTGCAGCAATCGCTGCATTGCCAGGCACAAAGGGTTCAGGGGTCCCTGTGCTTTGCTGGGCTCTGTGAACCCCGTCCCTTCCCCACCAAGGAGGGTGTTGTGGCTTCAGCGATGCCTTCAGGGGTTTTGCTGCTATGGGGGGGGGGCAGGAGCTGATTTACGCTCTCCCTCCTGTTAACGCTCCCTAAGCCTTCCCAGCCTGGGAATTACTGACTCATCGCCATTGGTGACAGTGGTGGAAAAGCAAAACCAGTTGAAAGGGTGAAATCAAACTGTGGATGTGCAGAGCCACAGCACAGGGGCAGGCAAGGCCCGGCCCCAGCAGATGCTGCTGGCTCATGGTGTATCCTATGGAGGAGCATGAGGTGGTGGGGATTTGGGGATGATGTGGTCCAGGCTGCAGAGATCCTGATGCCTACACCAAGGCCAGGAGCTGCTCCGTGGCCCTGGGGTTCGAGGTGGCAGAGGCAGCGCTGTCAGGGGTGGCTGCTAACACCCAGCAGGAGAAAAACTAATAAAGTGGCAAAAAGGGGAAGATGCAATGTGGCTCCTGATTAGAAGAAAACAGAACTGCACAGAGAATTGCTTTACATTGGCTTCAGTAATTTTTTAAATGCAGAAAACACAGGACTTGGGCAAAAATAACGTTTGAAAAGTAACTGTCCTCTGGTGTTGGGTTCTTTTTGTTTGTTTTCCAGTTTTTTGAGAGAAACCCAGCTGGCAGCTTTGGCAAGAGATTTCCCAAAACGTACTGGCCTAACAACAGAATTTACACCAGCGCCGGGCTGATCCCTTTCTACAGCGGTTTTGTACCAAGTAAGTTTAACAGCTGAGTGAAAATGAAAGTCACTATTACTAATTACAGCCATTAAGTAGTGCTGGTATTAGCTGTAGTGTCGTAGTAGTGAAGTTACTGAAATGTTCTGCATGGGTGGTATGTATTTTTTTATGTACAGTCTGTGCAAAGCTGGGCCATCCCCGAGCCCATCGTCCTCGCCACCAGCCTAGACTGGTGCAGGCCTCCAGCCACCACCCCTGCTAATGCAGAGGAGGCTCAGTAACACTCATTACATGGGCATGTTATATTTTCTTAGCCAGGAAAGTGATTCTGTTCTAAAAAGCTTGAAGTCTGATAAAAAGCATAAAGGGAAATGATAAAAAGGGGGGTGAGAAAGCACAAAAAAAGCACTGAAAGGGTATCAGGCATCAAGGCTGGCGGTGGCTATACCATAGTGTCTGCATGAGCCTTGTCAGATATCGGTGTTGCTTAAAAAAGGTCTGAAGAAAGTAGTTTTGTGTATGTTAAGGGGAAGCTCTGCCCATGCAAATGAAAGTTTTAAAGTATTAGGCTAAAATTTCAACAAATCAGCAACTAATATTGGTATTATTGGCCACGGCAAATTCAAGAGCCCACAGCTCAGTAACATGGGATGGGACAGCATGGGGATAAGCTGGGAAGAACCAAACTCACAGCTTGTTCCGAATGTGACAGAGGAGGAAAATGGTAGAGGACACAAAATGTGGCAGAAATGGAAGTGAAGAGTGGGAAAATAACGATCCTGGCAGGGTTGGACCATAGCTGGTATCGAGGCTGAGCTCAGGAGAAGGCTGAGGCAGTGAATGCGGCCCTAGCAAAATGGGTGCTGGGGCAAGGGAGAGCCTTGCAGAAAACGTGAAGCTCAACACACACCAGACAGCAGGAGCTTGGATGGCCTGAGGGAAGGGATGGAAACATGTTACACACTGAGGCAGGGCAGGGCAGGCCTGCTGATATGAAGAGAAATAGGTTCATTTTGGCCTCTGTCACCACACTGCTGCTCCGGGAGCGAGGGCAGGTACAGTAGGTGCTGTCCTCAGTATGTGACACTTACCCATCCCCTTCTTTCCTGTGGCAGCTCTGGGGGGTCCCACACTGAGCCCTCACTGCTCCAGGTGCTGGTTTCCTCTGTGCTGTGTTGCTTGGGGAGGGCTTTGGCTGCAGCCTGAGAGCTCAAGATCGCTGGAGAAAGGCTGTTAGGAACCAAAGGGGAACTGGCCCCGGTGTTAATGCTCACTCGTGTGTTCAAAAGGGTCCCTGGTAGCTGGCAGGGAACACGCCAGCTTCAGTGTAGTGAAAAGGAGGAAGAAAAAAACCTACCCTAAAACCAAGAACAAAATTCAGTTGTCACCTACAGAAGTGTTCTCCTGTGTAGGTTTGAAAGCAGATTTCCACTGCTTGAGGAGCCACCACAGTCAGTGTGATTGTAACTACTCCAGCCAGTTCAGCTCTGGAAGGAGAAACTTACTTTTTAAGATAGAAAAAAATAACCCAAAAATCAATTGTAATCAACAACACTGAACAGGATGTCCAGCAGGAAAGCAGCCTATCTCCTGTCCAGCCATTCAGAGTGACAGGTTTATCACTGTAGGCAACATTTTGCAAATACAGGGTAATTTGTTATGTGTTCAGCTCACTTCAAAGGCAGTGATGCTGCAGTAACACCCAATTGATTTAGTTTTAAAACCTCCACATACCGATTCTTTCAGTGACTCCAGCAAGGCTGCATACACAGGAGCTCTTCTGTGTCACTTGTGCTCAGCAGCAGGTGCAGCACTGCTCGCCACAGCTGTCCCCAGCGCTGTGACAGCCCATGGCTACCTGCTGGGTGGCTGCAGTGATCAGCTGGGGTGAGGGCACCCATCTCCCACCAGGAACAGCCCCCTGTGTGAGAGGCAACTTGCCTGCACCATTTTGTTGCCCAGGCTAAGCTATAGGCTGCAGTCAGCTATCTCTGCGCCCACATTATGGCCACGAGAGCTGCTCAGCACTCGCCAAGAGCCTGTAACAGGAGTCCATCAGCAGGCACCTAAATTTAGACACAGCTTAGAGCTGAATTCCACCCTCCCTCCACCCCTACCAGCTATTGTAAAGCTGTACCAGGGACTTCCCTCAATTCCCACAGCAGCAGGAGGAAGGATTGTCACCATATCCAGTGATACCAGCAACAGGCAGCTACCCCTGGGTAGAAGGCAGGGAGAAAAGCATGGTTGCCTTGGGCAAGGTGGCAGCGGCTCATGCCAAATCCCTGTTTTTTTTCCTTTCCAGCCCTCCGCCAAACCTACGCGCTTACTTTCACGAACAGCACTCGAAAAGCTTACCAAAAGGAACAAAGGAGACGAGCTGGTGCACTGTGAAAAATGCTTTAATGGTGCCTGTACAGCATTTGAAGTGACTTTGAGACAGGAAGAGGAACACAACACAAACAGAGAAGTTTTGAATGAAAGAGTTCATACAGCTTTAAACAAAATTTACAGGTGTTCATCTGCATAGCTTTTACTCTGCCTCTTCTTCAGCCTCCTCCTCAAACTCCCCCTCCTCCTCAGCTGTAGCATCCTGGTACTGCTGATACTCAGACACCAGGTCGTTCATGTTGCTCTCAGCCTCTGTGAACTCCATCTCGTCCATGCCCTCGCCCGTGTACCAGTGCAGGAAAGCCTTTCGGCGGAACATGGCCGTGAACTGCTCAGAAATGCGTTTGAACAGCTCCTGGATGGCTGTGCTGTTACCAATGAAGGTGGCAGACATTTTCAGGCCACGAGGTGGAATGTCACAGACCGCTGTTTTAACGTTATTAGGAATCCATTCAACAAAATAGCTGCTATTTTTGTTCTGAACGTTCAGCATTTGCTCATCGACCTCTTTCATCGACATACGGCCTCTAAAAACAGCAGCTACGGTCAGATAGCGGCCGTGACGTGGGTCACACGCAGCCATCATATTCTTTGCATCAAACATCTGCTGTGTGAGCTCTGGCACAGTTAGTGCACGGTACTGCTGGCTCCCACGGCTCGTGAGCGGGGCAAAACCAGGCATGAAAAAGTGCAAACGGGGGAAGGGAACCATGTTCACTGCCAGCTTCCGCAGGTCAGCATTAAGCTGGCCTGGGAATCGCAGGCAGGTGGTAACACCGCTCATGGTTGCCGACACTAAATGGTTCAGATCACCGTACGTTGGAGTAGTTAACTTCAGTGTTCTGAAGCATATGTCGTAGAGGGCTTCGTTATCGATACAGTAGGTTTCATCTGTGTTCTCCACAAGCTGGTGCACCGAGAGTGTGGCATTGTAGGGCTCTACTACAGTATCTGATACTTTAGGGGAGGGTACAACACTGAAAGTATTCATAATTCGGTCTGGGTACTCTTCACGAATTTTGCTGATGAGGAGGGTACCCATGCCAGAGCCTGTACCACCACCGAGAGAATGAGTAAGCTGAAAGCCCTGGAGACAATCACAGCTTTCTGCCTCCTTTCTTACAACATCTAACACAGAATCAACTAATTCAGCACCTTCCGTATAATGGCCCTTTGCCCAGTTGTTTCCTGCTCCGCTCTGACCTGGAAGAGAGCCATTTTCGTATTAGATTACGGTCACTGCTTCCTGCTTATTGCTTGCAAGCAAAGCTCGGGGGCATCAGCCTACAGCGAAACCCCACGAAAGCTTTCATTTTATCAAGCGTTAGAGCTGTGGTTTCACACGAACACCTCTGAAATGCCTCAGTAGGTACATGGAAGACATTATCAATGACAGAGCAGCCATTTAATTTCTCCTGAAAGTATGGAGGAGGTAATGAGGATCGGAAAAAAAACCCTTGTGCTGCCTGGGCCCTGCTCCCCCAGCAGCTGCCATCACGCACCATCCGCAGATAGCCGGTATTTCACGCCCGTCATGAAGCGCCAGGATTAACCCCCCTCCCAGGGCCACGCTCGCCTCATGAGCATGTGCAGCAGGGAAGCCCGCAGTGCAGCGTCCCTGCCCTGCCCTGCCCACCCCACCCCGAGCCGGT